GCACAATAATGTGATAAATCATCCGTAAACTGCTTTTCCAGCAGATGTGGCTGTGCAATGTGCGATGCATCTGACAGCAAACATCTGTCCAGGCTGCAGGAACAACGTGGTCTGTTTTCCCTATCATATCGGTTTACCTTACTCATCTGATGGAAGTGAATTTCCCCTGAACCTTGCTTCCCCTTGGTGCTGAGCTGAGCACACCCCGTCCCGTACAGCGCAGCGGGGTGGTGAGCACGCTGAGGGCCACCGCGACCGGGTCGCTTCTCTGCTGCTGGAAGAGCTGCTGGCTGGGGCTGGCACACGACTTCCAGCCTCGGAGCGGGGGTGGGGTTTGAAGATTAAACCTTAGTTATGAGAATTTAATTTGGCTTGATCTGAATTGGGTTGTAGGTTGCATCCGAAAGAGGAACCGGACTTGCTGTCTTCCTCCCGCTGTGCTAGAACTGTAACCTTACCAGCCATACCTATTCTTGCTGGACCTTAGCGGACCGCTCACTAGAGGTTGAACTCATTATATTTCCACAAATTTCATCTGAATTCCCATAAAAGTGACTGAACACCTTTTACCCAAGGCCCCAGTTTAACCATGGGCATAGTCCTGCATATTAGCTTTTGTTCTTCGCTTAGTTACCACACAAAGAAAATGGCTTTGTGTTTCAGTTTATGTTTATATTGCTGCTGCTGTGAGGTTGCAAACGCTGAGTACAGGGGAAAAAAGTCAACCAACCAAGTGGAAAGATTCTAGGCCAGTTAAACCCCACGGAATGGGAAAGGAGCTCTTCCTGCAGCAGATGTAGCTAGAAGCAAATTCTCAAATACATGGGGCTACACCTCTGCTGCATTTTCTTACTCAAAAAGAATTAATCTGACTGGAAAAAACAAAAAGTCAGAAGTAAATCCTTATCTCTGGAGATGAATGAAGTGCACTAGGGGAGCCCCCTGACTCCAGTGGTTCTTTTGATAGCTACTCATTATGAAAAAAACAATTAACTTATGATTTTTGAATTAATAACAATGGAAATAATGGCAAAGGATAAAAAGTAAATAGTACATAAAGCATATAACTTATAAATAATAACCTCCAGGTTAAGGAATCTAGCTGATTGCATGGCTCTGGGCAAAGGGATGATGTTGCGAGGGCAGGGAATGTTGAAGAGAAGGAGCAGCTGCAAAAATAACGCACAAAACTGCCTCCATTTCCTTGGGGGGGCGTGCCTGTAAGAGAACTGCCACGTGGCCTTGGGGAAATGCAAAAGGATGAGGAAAGCTCTTTCTAAACCTTTTCAATTGCCAAAAAAAAAAAAA